CAACCGAACCGGTTTGCTGACCCCCTAAAAAACACCCATGAAAGCTCATTCTCTCATAAGTGGCATCCATGGAAGTCAAGTGAAGTAGTACTTATTCTTAAGATCCCGTTAAGTAACATTACAATTAACCTAATCGGTTAAAACTGCTGAAATTATGAAATTCTGACTAAACTAATTAAATTTTCTTATTCTGCTAAATTATAGAAAAATTATACTCCGTATTTAAAATATATTTAATTAATGAAATAAAAAATTAGATGAAAATTAATGTAAAATTTTCTTAACCATTTTGTTTATATATACAATTTTTATCAAATTTGAGTTTTTAACCACTTTACAAGACTTTTAATGTAATTTTTGAATATGTAAATTTTATTTGCCAAAAATAATTTTATTATGAACAAGGATCACTTAAGTTTATGACCTGTCAAATATCGTAAACTCAACTGGGACCGTTACCCGGGCCGGAGGTATTATACAATATTCATTCAATCTCTTTTCTATCTTGATGGGACTTCCACAAATGGACCTTTTATGTTTACATATCCTGGCAAACTAAGGAATCTCTGCATAAGAAACATACTTTCACTTGCGCTGAAGAACATAAAGAAAAAGTTACTATCTCCGTCCCCCTACATTTGGGACAAAGGGGTGTGGTGTGAATTTTAAGAAAAAGTAGAATTGTGTGATTGAAATTGAATTGATGAAGTGTGAATAAAGTAAGAATTAATTGTAACCACCCAAATATTACCAAATATGGTATGACACAAACTTAATGGGACGAACGAAAAAGATAAAATAGGACAAAGTTAGGGGGACGGAGGGAGTATCACACATCAATTGTTACTTGTATATTCTTTTACGGTTCTCGTGTCCCCATTCAATTCTATCATCTTTTATCTTAATTTGCATGATTTAGGATGTTTTTACTTGGACTGTAATTTCTCCCAGATCAGACCAGTTCAGACCAAACCAGACTTGGATAGTTATAAAAATACAAAGAAATCAGACCAGACCAGACCAGACCAGCAAATTACAGTCCAAATAAAAACATCCTTAAATATGCTAATATTTTTCAAGTTTGGCAGTAATTAATCAATTTAAAAAATAAAAATAGGACAAATTATATTGGGATTTTAAAATGTTTTTACCTATTTTGAGAATTTTCTCAAATTAATTATAGTCATATATTAGAATACTAGCGTGTATCCGCGCACCGCACGATAAGATATGCGTTTAATTTTTTATTTTAAATTTATAGGGACCGTGGATTGTATATATTTCGTCAGTCGAAGTTTAAAAGAGAACTCGATTGACTATATATACAGATGTCAAAATGAGTCGAACTCCATCGGGCTTGCTCGTTTTACGATGGATTATATTGCATTTTAATAACTTGATTAACTCACTGGTTTTGTGGGTTAACATGCACAAGTTGTGTGTTGACTATACAACTTGATATTTGGTCAAAATATAAACATCTAGTTTTGACTTTCGATCACTATCTTAATTATTGTTTGGTTACTATGAAAATTATTTGTTATTATGTACTTATTATTTAACAGCAACCTTCATTGAACTACTATTTCTATAATAATCATTCAAATAAATTATTCCTGCATATTTTTTATTTTGTAGTTGAAAACAAATTTAGGAAAATAGAAACTAATAATCCAACCTTTTAACGAGCTTCTTACAATAGTCCCACCTTTTCATTATTCAGTAATAATCCAACCTTTGCACCCTATCGTCATTCGATAGTCCCTGACTGGTTGATGACCCATTATTCCAAGTTATTTTCTTATCTTTGCAAAACATTATGTGACCAAAAGGTGTGATTTAAGGTATAATATTTTACAAAGATAAGAAAATGACTTGGAATAGCAGGTCATCAACCGGTGAGGGACCAACGAATGAAGATAGGGCGAAAAGGTTGGATTATTCCTGAATAACGAAAAGGTGAGACTATTTTTATCAATTAGTAGTCATTGTCTACAAATATATACTCAAAAATCTAATTATAACCTTATTTTTGTACAATTAGTTCTTTATATTCAATAGGTACTACAGAACAGATCCCTCGATTTATGGGTCCCCAAGTTTTTAATAATTGATTAGTATTTTATAGTAATATTATATATTAACATTAATCAGTAAAATACAGTGAGTAAGAAAGAAAAATACAGATATATTATTTTTTTCGTCGGCCATTTTACTTCTCATTTATTTAAACTGCTTGAGTAATGAGATGTGTTGCTTTAAATCAAGTATAAAGTAAATTTTAGATTTTTGTATTACATTACTATATTTAATGACTATTCAATTAATTTGAGTATACGTATTAAGATTGTTACTTTTATATTAATGTGGTGTATCGATTTTACATTTGGAATCGGGGCCTCTAAATTTATTAGATGACTTTTTCTTACCCACACACACTACATATGTAATTTGGATCAAATGTGAACATGATCTAAGAAAGAAAATGATAATGAATTTGGAGCATTAGATTTTAGAGTTGCTCATTATGTGAAATAGAAATGTGCACGATCATAAATCAGAAAATGAAGTGGCATTTTGTAGATAAGTTTTGCCTTTTATGCCCATTTAAAGTACCATTAATCATGATGTGCATTGTTTCAGATTATTCTTATTTCAGGGTAATTGATTTCAAGATTTTGTTTCATGTGTATTTTTTACATTGATCCGCGGAGCACCCTTTAAAATATACAAGATTTTGTTGAAAAAGAAGTATGAGAGGAATATTTTTTTATTTTAATAAGCTAAAATTTGTTATTTATTTTTTATTTTTGAGTATTTTCAATTTATGTGCTACTGTCAAGTGAATTTTTTTACCTATACTTATACAAAACGTTGTGATGCATAAATACAAATACACATATATATAATACTCCTAACTTATATATAGTACACATAAATTTTTATCTAAATTTTTATTGGAATACATATGAGTGGGAGTTTGGAAGTTGAATAGTTTTTATTTAATGGTGTTGCCAAATATCATTTTTTCTACAAAAGATGATGTCACATGTCAATTATTCATCCAAACAACTATCCAGGAGTTAGCTTTATTATATTATATTGATGATAGATTAATTACACAATATGAATATTTTATCAGAACTTTAAATTGGCAATAAATGAGTGATTTGAACTTGATAAACATCAAAATAATAAGGGCTGACTTTCTTAAATCCATGCCTATAAATTTCATACGTGTTTTTGGATGGGAAAATTTTCGAAATATAAGTAAAAATATTTTCAAATTTCAAAAGAAGATTGTCATGTTTATTGTCGGTTATATCAAAATAGTCATTATATTCTTTTTTGGGATTCACATACATTTTTACTCCTATTTATAAGAGAGATTTCTTAATTAATTTTAATTGTATTTGAACTCAATTCTTGAGATTCAATGTATAGAGCTTTTAGTGTAACTTTTGAATATATAAATTACTATTATATATAATACTATAATCATAAAAGAGTTAACTATATTGGTATTAAGCATCACTCATCAATTTAAATCGAACATAAAATCTTAAAATAAGATTGAGAGTACTTCTGTTTGCTTTTTAATATACTTGAAGTCTCGACTGCTCGAGAATTATGGATGTTTTTACTTGGATTGTAATTTGCTGGTCTAGTCTGATCTGGTCTGTTTTAGTCTGGTCTGGTCTGGTCTGTTTTGGTCTTGTCTTGTCTGGTCTATTTTGGTCTGGTCTGGTCTGAAATTTCATTTTTTATTTTTTTGCATAAAGATTTTATTATATATATATATATATATATATTATAATCCATAAATAATTATATTTTATTCATTTATAATTAAAAATAATAATAGTAATAATAGTAATAATACTAATAATACAAACAATAACAATGATGATGATGATGATGATGACGACGACGACGACGATGATGATGATGATGATGAAGATGATGATGATGATGATGATGATGATGATGATGATGATAATAATAATAATAATAATAATAATAATAATAATAAAATATTATCTGGTCTGGTGTGGTCTGAAATTTTATTTTTTATATTTTTTGCATAAAGATTTTATATTATATATATATATATATATATTATCATCAATAAATAATTATATTTTATTCATTTATAATTAAAAATATAATAGTAATAATACTAATAATAATAACAATAACAATGATGATGATGATGATGACGACGACGACGATGATGACGACGATGATGATGATGATGATGATGATGATGATGATGATGATAATAATATATGGTCTGGTCTGATCTGGTCTATTTTGGGTTGGGCTAGTCTGGTCTGGTTTGGGACAAATTACGATGCAAGTAAAAACAACCTATATATACATAATACCTGTAAAGACAAGTAGTGATCATTATTTTAGTTTCTTCATATTAGTACTATCTCATTACACACATACGAACAGGGCCGGCCCTGGCGGTGTGCAGGATGTCCAACCGCACAGGGCCCAAAAAATTGGAAGGGCCCAATTTTTTTAGTAATATACTAGTATTACTTAGAAGTGGTTTCGGTTCGGTTTTGATATAAAACCAAATGAAGTACAAAAAAATTGGACTAAGACAAGGCTTTGAAGCAGGCCTGGTTCGCCACTTCGCGTATTCCTCATTTGCAAAGGAGGAGCGTATATATAGGAACGAAGGAGTCACTACAAAAAAGGATTGAATTAGGCACTTAAATCAGGCACCTAAAGCCCTAGTGACTATACTCACCAGCTTTGTCACTTGAATTGGAGTGACTAAATTGAAAGTATTTGTCACCACTTTTATCACTTAAACACTTGGTGAGAAAAAAAAGGACCGATTCTCCAGCGGAAGATTTCCAACCGTGCGCAAGTTTAGTGAAGCTAGCGGAATTTATCTGTTATCCCAAGTTTAGGGTCATTTGAATTTTATTTTTGTGTATATATACTACATTAATTCCTATACTTTTACATAAGTGATTTCTCCTTAGCTTCCAATTTCTCTTTTTTTCCCCATATCATGTTCAAGCACTCTAGAGCTTTACACTAGAAAAGAAGTCAGTTCTATACATTCCAAATATTAACTCTGCAGTTGATTAAGGAAGAAGATATGTGAGATCAAGTTAAGGAACAAATTCTTCCACTATTTACGCCATCGTTCGATTCAATTTGGTAAGCGTCTCCATAAAGCTTGTATAATTTTAAGAAAATGTTAATATTTGTTATTTCATTTTTCATTTAAAAATTTTCTTTTGTTGAATTAAATGTAATCGTAAGTTACAATATAACGTGTGTCACTCCAATTACTCAAATAATAATGTTGATTAAATATGGAAATTTAGGAGTAATAATAATATCATGATTAGAAAGTTGTTTCCTTATAAAGTGAGAAATCACTTTTCTTTTGAAATGTACAAAATGAACTCTTATGTTGTAGCAGTTGCGATGTTGATTGTATCGGATTGTTAAATATTTATTTACTTACTTCTTTAAAATTGATGTGATGAGAAATAAAAAGTATTTGGACTTAAAAATACATAACTTGTTGCTAAATTAATGTCAATTATCGATCTATTTATAGTTTTATTAATGAGTACATAGTAGTTGTTCGGAGAATAATGATATAATAATAATAATGATGATGATGATGATGATGATGATGATGATACTAATAATAATAACAACAATCACAATAACAATAACAACAACAATAATAATAATCATAATAATAATAATAATCATAATAATAATAATAATAATAATAACAACAACAACAACAACAAATTACAACCGTTGTATCCGCTCGTGATTGTAAGTATGCGTTTTAGATTATTTTGTTACAAATACAATAAGAAATTAAAATTTTTAATACAATATTACTTAGTTAATTTTCATGATATTTAAGCATAGAATATATGTATTGCAGCTACAATGTACAAACAGGCTAGGAGTTGGATGTATGACAACCACTTAGAAAATAAAGATTCGTCTGATAAATTTGAAAGTGGCGTTGAGGATTTCATTACATTTTCATGTGAGCATCCAACATATATGGATGGTGCTAAAATAAGGTGTCCATGTAAAAAATGTAAGAACAAGGCATATAAAGATCAAGAAGATGTTCGATGGCACCTATACAAATATGGGTTTATTGAAAATTATTATAATTGGACATCACAAGGTGAACCTATTCATCATGAGCTCTTCGTTGAACGAGAGAATTTATTGGCCGCTATGTCTGACAACAATCCCACTCAATGGAATGATTATGAGAATATGAACTGGGATCAAAGGATGGTAAACGATGCTATTGGTGTGCATAATGTTCCAGAGCATTATGATAGCTCCCAAAACACAGATGATGGAAGTCTCAACGAGTCATTTTCAGCACCAACTTTAAATGACTCTCCAGATCGCTTTTTCCATGTGCTTGAATCTGCGGACCGACCTCTCTATGGATGTGGTACAAAGTTCTCACAACTTCAATTTGTGTCGAGATTAATGAGCATCAAGGCTGACCATAATTGGTCAGAGGCTAGTGTGACTGAACTTTTGTTATTGCTTATAGACGCTCATGAAGGCCCTAACACCATCCCAGAGAGTTTTTATGCGATGAGAAAGTTAGTATCAGATTTAGGCCTCCCTGTCCATCATATTGACACTTGCAGATCAGGATGCATGTTGTTTTGGAAAGATGACAAGGACTTGCACCATTGCAAGTTTTGTTGAGAAGAAAGATACAAGAACCTGAAAGGTACAGGCGATGGTGAAACAGGTAAGTTGACAGCCGTAACCACGCTTCGATATTTGCCACTTGCGCCGAGGTTACAAAGACTATATGCTTCTACTGTTACTGCGAGTGAAATGACGTGGCATAAGAATCACGAGTCACAAGAAGGCATGATGTGTCATCCATCAATTTCACCGGCATGGAAGCATTTTGATACCACATATCCTAGATTTGCTAAAGAGGCACGTAATGTTCGTTTAGGGTTATGTACTGATGGATTTGCACCACATGGACAATATGGTAAAAATTATTCATGTTGGTCAGTTATATTGACTCCTTACAATCTTCCACCTGGCATGTGCATGAAAAGTCCATATATGTTTTTAACGCTGATAATTCCTGGACCAAATAACCCTAAAAACAAAATTGATATATACATGCAACCATTTTGATCCATCCGTGACAAAATTTCAATTTTTTTAAATTTCCCGCCGTTCCCGTTTCGAAATAATTTAAAAAATCAATTTAAATTGTTTTTATGTAACAAACGTTTGTCACGGATAAATCCATGACAAATATGAACCGGCACACTACTCCGGTGACCCTTTTGTCACGGATACCAACCGTGACACATCCGTGATAAAGTTTTGTCACGGATCCCGTTCCGTGACAAAAGTTTGTTACTCCCGTTTTGTCACGGAAAAAATCTGTAGCAAAATCCGTGACAAAGTTGTTTATCACGGATTATTAAACTAGTGTTCGTGACAACCACCCTGATTTTTTTATAGTGTTAAATGACTGTTTATAATTAGCTGATCACTTATTAAATGACATATAAGTACATCAATTATTTATTTATTTATTAAAACTAGTATAGTGCCCGTGCGATGCACGGGGATAATAAACATATTACCAAAGAAGTATATTCCCCATATACTACTCAAATTTCTTTTCTCTTGAAGAAATATAATACCTCCGTCCTGAATTGATTTGCAAAATTGATTTTTCTTAGTTAAACAGGTTCATTTTGTTTACTTAATTAGGATGTCAATTTTTTATTATATTCTAATTTAGTGTTTGCATCTTCGAGGAGACTTTAATGTAATTTCTAATTATGTAAATTTTAATTATTAAAAATTGAATTGATTATCAATAGGGTGGTTTTAACTTCAACATTGGTTGACCAAAAAATGTTGACTTTGAAAATCAATTTGGGAGGGGTATCTATTTTGACCCATAACTATATTTAAAAGTACTATGTCAACTCTAAAGCCCAAGATATTTTATTACGTAGTAAAGAGTATTGTTTATTCAAATTTCAACAGATTTTGCATTCAATAATTCAACCGAAGATTTGATTAATCAGAAGTTAAGTGTTCTCATGCTCAGGAAAATGCTAATTTTACTAAGTTATATTGTGTATATCAACATTAATGGAATTTCAAAAACTGAAAGTCAACTCTGGCTCCTAAATCGTTATACATAATTTTTTACATGCAATAAATGATAGTCGTACATATTAGTTTGTTTGGCATAGTTTATAAAATCTGTAGTAGTAGTGTCTCTTAAGTTTCATAAACTCATTGGGTATCAAAACTAACCATTTGAAGAGTTGCGCTAGACATTTGAAGAGTCTCGACATATAACATACTCCGCATTATAGATCGATACTCAAGATGTCATTTTCCTAACACTTACCAACCTAGCACCGGCAGGCGGCATCACAAAACAGACATGCTCCAAGTCAGATATCCATCTTCCCGCAACTGCTTCTGTATGGTAAGAGTTTCCCAGCTCATCACTTCTATCAACATCCAGACGCTTTCTCTCGTTCCCTCCCTACTGATCAATAATCCTCTGCAAAATGTCATCACCGCCATTACCCCAAAGCCGCCACAGCAACCACCACTATCACTCCGGTCGATCTACAGATTATTTCTCTTCACTAGCAAGTGGTACCTTAAACGAAGAAAACTCTTGTCCTGCAAGCCGATGTTGCGGAGCAATCTCGCCGTCAGCAGAGACACCGCAACATTCATGAGCCTATAGCAGAGGTTTTGAATCCTCTGAGCCTATATATAGAGTATAGAATCATATATCTATACACACATGTTTAATAAAATCATTTAATGATTTTATGATTCGTACATATTTTTTCTTAGTCTTAATATTAATGATATAAGTAATACTACGTATATTATATTTTCGATAAAAAAGATTTGATTTTAAGCACAATTTTGATCTAATAAGTCAGTGGACAGTATGTCATAGCCCATAACTACAAATTACAATGAATTTCAATCAACTTTTTCCATCTAAATTTGTTGTTAAAAGGCCATAAACTAAAGTAGATGCAAATTAAAAATTGAGAAAATGAATATCTGAGCTTGTATACACTAATATGGTAAATTGAAAATGATATCCGTATATGTGGAGATGTGCCATGGTGTCTTATGTCGATAGTATATCTTGATAAGGATTTATGGTACTCCTAACTCTATATATAATGGTATCCACCTTGAAAACAATAATTGCTATAGGGAATTTCAAAAGGCACTCGAAAATTGATCCTAATTATTATTTTTTTTATTTTGTTTTGAAAGGAAAATTGATTCTATTTATTACTATCCGTATTTGGAATTTAAAAAAAAAAGATATCTGTATTTGGAATACTAAAAGTCACTCTAATTAATGGTTGCTAACGGCCCAAGTGTTTTAGTATTGTGTGCAACATATGCTGCCCAAATTTTACACAGATTTTGAATTTTAAAATTCATTTCGTCTGCCCAAGCATTAAAGTTTTGTCACGGATCCCGTTCCGTGACAAAAGTTTGTTACTCTCGTTTTGTCACGGAAAAAATCTGTGGCAAAATCCGTGACAAAGTTGTTTATCACGGATTATTAAAACTAGTGTCCGTGACAACCACCCTGATTTTTTTATAGTGTTAAATGACTGTTTATAATTAGCTGATCACATTAAATGACATATAAGTACATCAATTATTTATTTTTTTATTAAAATAAGTAGTAATTATTTCAAACAATTATTTCAAACAATTATTTCTTGACCAGTTCAACTCGTTAAGAGTTTATTCCGACGTTTAATAGAAAAAGAAAACCAGAATAAATGACAATCTCTAATTCTATAACACTAAAAAGTACTACTACGTAATACGGAGTAGCAAATTGTGGAAGCTAAATTAAGCATCCTCCGCCATGGTCCATGGACATGGAAGTAGAGGATTAAAAATTGTGTCAACAGAGACATCAAATCCGTAGACATCCTCCGGGAGGAAGAAGGCAAAAGGATGGTAAAGAACTACGAGTAAATAAATTAGTAGAGTCGAATATGAAGCCTCACGACTTTTGCTCTTTTGCGGAAGAAGATATCGGACGGCGAAAGATTTTTTTGGTCTTGGGTGGAAGTTTTTTTCTGCGAGGAAGATAAGCCAATCCTAAATGCCACGTTTGATGGCTTTTCAAATATTGGCTGTTTGGGGCAAAAGTTTGATTGAAAAAGTCATTTAACCAAACACTTTTATTGGCTGATTGATCTGGTCAAAAAGCTAATCATAGTCAAATCAGTCAAATCACCCCAATAGCAAAAATTGTTTATTTGAAATTTGAGTAAATAAAAGATAAAGAAGGAATGTAGGCACAATTAAATATGTTATAATTTCTTAAAAGAGAAGTGTTATGACTTTAACCCATTACTCTTGTTAGGTGTTTTCTAAATAGTAGAATGGTGTTTTATTCTCTAGACACGATTGTTTTACTCAAATAATATTTAATTTTTCAATAAGCTGCTTTAATTTCACCTATATCCCCACAACAAACCGTCAACCATCTTCCAGGAGTACAATATACAATAATAAGAGACTAAGAGTATGTTTTCAAAATGACAATGTTTGGTAAGAGTGGACGCTCAAATGCCATATAATACTATTTGATGGCTTGGCCAAAGGCAGTAAAAGTAAGGTCAAAATGACAATATGGTTTTAGTGTAGAATTCCAGCTCCCAGCAAGCCCACTCCATCCTCCATATCATGGGATGGTCTTCCATCTCCTGTCCACTGAAGAGAAGCATGGAGAGACATGGAGAGGAGACATGGGTTGTAGCATGAGCAGCAATGAATATGTCTCCAGCCTTGCCTATAAATAGGATGCTCTTCCATTGTTCAAAGGCATCAAAAATCGGAGAGAAAAATGTAGTGAGAGTGATACACATATAGTGAGTGTATGAAAGAGTTAATTTTTTGTAATAGTTGAGTAAGAGAGTTGCTCCTCCTATTCTAATTTTGTTCTGGTTATGAATAGAAGAATTTTTCGATCCTAACAAGTGGTATCAGAGACAGTTTAATCCAGAAATCCAGATTTCTACACGCTGCCCAAATTTTTGGTCAAATATTTTTTTGTTCCAGAATCGTGTTTTGAGGTTACCATTATAAAGCTCTCGTTCTGAGGATTCCAAAAATATATTTTTTGGAAATTTTTGAGCACCGGAAGGCTTCCAAACGTCCGGTCAATGTTTCTCTCTCCTGCCAGTCAAGCCGCTGCAGTACTCCAGTCCCGGAGCAACCTCGCCGGAGAAGACGACCAGTCCTCTAGCCACGTCATCACCAAGTCACGCAACGTCATCGACACGTCATCACCAAGTCATCCGCCACGTCACCGACGTCCGGCCGATTGGACCACCTGTCGGTGCACGTCAGCTACCACGTCACGGACACGTCGCTGCTAGGTTGTGCCACATCATCAGCCTGATTGGCTGCCCTCTAGTTTTGGACAGAACCGGTCCGGTTCGGTTCGTGGTTCAACACTCCGATTCAGCATCTTTCAGACCGGTTCCTGAAGAGGTGAGACCGATGCCCACCATTTTTGGCCATTCCGGATTCAACGGTGTGCTCCGTTTGGCCTAATTCAGCTTCCAATTTAAGGTACGGGAAAATTGTACACTTTATCATGGAAAAATCATCATCGAATACCATGATTGCACTTACTTCCACGAATTACGACATGTGGAAACCTCGGATGGAGGATTTGCCAAATTTGAAAGATTTAGCTGATCCTCTTGATAATAATGGCGTTAAACCAGATAAAAAGACGGATGAAGAATGGGCTAAGATGAACAGAAAAACTGTCGCACAAATCCGACAGTGGATTGATCATAGCGTGTTCCATCAT